TTTTGTACCGTCGAATCTATTTTTCTTTTTTTTTTTTTTTTTAAGTATTACAGCTATAAAATGGAATGCTAAAAATTCGTTCAATATTCTTTTCATGTCACTGATAGAGTCTACAGTCATATAAAATAGAAAGAACTTTAAATATATATGATAAATATATATTGCTTGAGCCTTGGACTCCAATTATGAAAAAAGAACTCTTCTAAAATAACTCTAAAATGACTATTAATTTCAGGAAATTATAAAATTTAGATGGAATACGTACTAATGAAGAAACGTTGAGCAAATCTCTACGACTATCCTTTCCAACGTTAATATTAAAAAATGAAATGCGTCGGATTGCAAACGAAATGTTGCGTTATTCTTTCGATAAAGAGCAAGAATTTTGTGTTCAGGATGAAGTAAGATCCCCTGGACAGTCGTTCAGAGAGTAATTGAATCACTGTATTCGAAAGCACGAAGAAATGGCACAAGGAGACGAGAGGTCGATGATTGACGGCTAAAATGATTTTTTAACGGTCTGGATACAGCGGAGGGTGAACAGACGGACGACTTAAGCCGTCGGCTATCTTAGGCAGATAGTGGACAATGGTTTAGCATAATGGTCAGAGGGTGGATTGCCACGTTGGCCCCGAGGGGCATGTTTGTGACATTTTCGTGTATCCATCACGTCACGTAGACTCGGAGGACGGGCAAAGAAGAAAGTGATGTCAAGAGATCACGCACTTTCACGCTTTATAATACAGTGGTTGTGGAACTGAACTTTGAAAAGAAGACTTCTCTGAGATTAAAATTCATACGTGAGATTCTTTTTTTTTTTTTGAAAGAGAGAGAAAAGACTAAATAATTCTCAATTATTTTACCATTTATCTGTAATGTCATTTAAATCTTCTATTAATAAAACAAACAAGCGAAAAATAAATTAAATAACATTGAAGAACAAAAACTGAATGATAAATCGAGAGGAATATTACTTACAATTCATTGTTGACCGTAGGTGAGTACAGAAACCCTTTGTGTGGCTCGCAGAGGAAAGTACCGTTTCGAACACCGACCGGTGGTGTCTTCGAGAACACTTCAGCGTATCTGAAACGAAAATGGAAATTCATTTTGAAATTCATTGAAAAGTAACTTCAAGATACTAAGACTACTAGTACTCTGGATTTGTAAATTTCTTAAAAATTCGTACAGACATGTACAAAAAACAAAAGCATATAAAATGTTCCTCGTAATAATTTTTAAAAAATGAAGCAAATCACTTTTTGAAGTGTAGTTCTAAAAACCTCCACAATTTAATTATTAAACTCCAAGTATCATCAATATTTATGTATCATATTTTCGGAAAATTTGAATAATATATAAAAATGCAAAAAACATTCAAAATAGAATATTAATTATAATATTTAATAATATTGATTATAATTACTACATCTTCCAATCATCACTACATTCTACTCCAATCTTGTAAACAGATTTTTGAGATTACAATTTGAGAAAAAAAAAAATAAAATAAAATAAAATTCAAGTAGAAAATCATTTTCTATACCAAATATCAAAGCATTATATTTCACATTCGTATATATTTTTCACATTCCGTGCATTCTGATTGCAAGTGTGCAGCCTATTTATTTCACTTTTAAAACTATCCCGTCAAGTATCGCGATTGTTACTTGCTAAGTCCAACCCCCGAGCTGCTGCCATTTGCAACCGACAACCGGCACCGGCACGCATGATAAATCCCCGAGCATTAAAAATATATTTCCAGGATTATTTTTTACGAACGCTGTCAGCCAGTTAATCGTTTCGAATAATGCAACCTCGTCCGTGACACGTCTTTCGGGTGGTGGACCAGAAAGACGACGAGGAGGAACGCTTCCTTCGGGACATTCCGACGGGGGTGGAGATGTGTCGGGGGATTGGGGTTGTGCATCATTTTTCACATACCACGAGGGGGCGGACGGTTTTTGCCGTCTCCCCACCCGTCCACCATCCAGATAATGCTCTTAAAGACAGATATCTCCCGCGAAACCAGCCAGGTACGCGATCCTACCCAGACGAGGTGAACTTAAACCGGAGATCTATGCGAATTTTAAGATTCTAAACGGAACGTTTCCACCCTCCTCCCCGTGGAAAATCTTGAATTTGAGAAAAACTTTGAGCGAACTGTGATTTTTCATTTTCAAATATATCAACGTAACAATTGTCCGTTTTCAAGTGTATTTCAGGAATGTAATGTCTTTAAGATCAATGTTTTAAATTCTTCGAGGATCGACATTTTTCAAAAAAAAAACAATAGATTTCTTTTTTGAAATTTATGTATGTATATACACGGTGTATATCGTGCGGAAAATTTTGAAAAAAAGTTTTGCCAGTCATCCAAAGATTAGTAGTATTTATAAATTCGTGAATAACTTCAGTACAAATAGTTAAGCATCAGTTATAGTTTCGTTATCAAATTACAGTTCCTATTAAGTTCTAGATATGATTTAGAAGAGAAAAGATAGCATTTCTTTCATTAAATCATTCATTGTTTAAATTCAAATTAGAAAACATGAAATATATACAGTAACATATCGAGATAAGATGGACATCCATTTTATTAAACTGTCGTTCGTTACAGAAAAAATTGGAACGTAGAGAAAACGTCTTTTAACATCTAGCGTTTAACCTTTCTGTTTCACGTAATTTTTGAACTCTACTAGACACGAAACGAAATTTTGATTGATTAATTAATTCAAAATGTTTCGAATTTCATTTCGCCTGTAAATTTTTTTTATTAATTAGTGAATTTGAATATTCTCTTAATATTTATTTATTTCATCTGTTCTCACAATCGATTACGGATGTTCAGTTTATTCTAATATGGCACTATATTCTATAAAAAAAGGCAGAAAGAAATAATATTTGCGTGACAAAGGAAGTATATTTAGTATTCTAATCTGAAAAGGCTTCTAAGAAGCTCAATTCGTTTAGACTCACTTCCGTATAATACATCGTCTGTAATACTTCGACGCAACACGAAACAAAGAAGAAAAACTTTCCAATAAATCCATCGATGAAACAAAAAAGCCTCGGTATCGCTTGAAATCACCGTGCCGATTATTGAAGAAAAAACGAAAAAAAATCGATCGCTGTGCACGAGCGAAGGACGGACAGGAAGAAAAAGAAGCACAAAAGCAGGAAACTCGCAGAAACCGCGAGGACACCCGAGCAAAGTGCAAATACCCGTTGTGGAGGATTTAAAAAATGTCTCCCTGCCGAATACCCCCGAGCGGATTTTCCAGAAGCGAATATGCGTATTAATTATGAGCCTTGTTCAAACAGTCGAACAGTGAGAGACGCACGGGGATGAGGAGAAAATTGGTCACCCTTATTACAGTCGAACCAGGGAAGCGAACTCTCTCTCTTTCCGTTGTTCATGTGGTTCTCCGTGTCCCTCTGTTTCTCTGCTCTGCACCTTTCGTTCTCCTCCCCTTCCCTCCCAAATGCCGTTCTCCTCTCACCTTCCCTCTCTCTCTCCCTCTCTCTTTTTTTATTTCATTTCTCATTCGAGGCTTTGTTTAACTTCTGTCGCGGAATTTTTCCGGTCCACGACGATTATTACTCCCAGGAGATGGAAGAGGAAAACAGGAGCCGAGGACCGATGCAAGGGGGTAGTTATGACCACTACAAGAGAATGGGATACGGTTCCAGGGAAATCGTTTGGAAATGCCTCGATAATTCGGCCACATCGCTATATATATATATATGTTGTACCGTCTTCCGACGCACGTGACTTTTGTAAGACTTGTTTTTAACAAAAATTTGGATTTGAAGAGAGAGAAATTTCAATGATAGCCAAACGTGAGCTTACCATATCTCTCTACAGTGTCGTATAACTTGAGAGTTATTTTATTTTCCACATTCGCCGTTACAAAAATACCGAGTGAATTGTTTGTAATAGTTATCGGTCGCCAGGATCTTAATTCGAGTATAAGTAATGTAGAAGCTGTTAATTTTTTTTAACTCGTTATTCTATTTGCAAACGTACCTCAACATTTATTTAAAACATATTTATAATTAAAATATCCTGTCAAGTATCACAAAATCACTTTTCGACCAGTTTATCCCAATACTTTATAGAAGAATATGTATATGGTTTACTATTTACTTAAAGAAAACTATTTACGACGAAAATTAATTGATGAGAATAATCATTGAAATAAGAGAAAAAAAAATGGCCAAATCTAGTTTGAAATGTCACAATTGCTGTCTTTTTGAAATGCACGTTGAAGATTTTCGTAATTAGTTGTTTACATTAAAGGTGAAAATAATTTTCACTTACTAAAAGTTAAGAGAAAATTAAAAAAAAAAAAAAGACAATTTACGTTAAAGTGCAATTTGTTTAAATCTTTCTACGTCGAGCGCGAAGTTCGATAAACTTATGGAGTTAAACTTTTTTGCGTTGAGACGTGAAAAAAAAAAAATAAGGTATGATCGTCAAAGGAAAAGCGATTTACCATGCCGCAACCGGAAGGTTTAATACGGCTGGGAGCATGAAATTGAAATCGTTCTATGTCGTTGCGCAGAGTGCAAAGAACATCCTCCAAGGTGCTGTTTTCTCTGGTGGAAGAGATCGACAGCTTCGAGGGAAAGATATCTCTCTGTTGATTAAGGCGTTCCACGAATCGTTGTTGTCTCCAGACTCATTCGTGCATAGAGCAGGATATTACGCACCGGTATCGAATAATGATATCTCGACCACAGTGATCATATAAACCGCAATGATTACAAGGATATTCGAAACGTATCGACGTTTCGTCTGGTATGCGCATTATCGTCCATACTCACGATTGCCAATTCCACTGAATTTCGAACGAACAGCAGCTTAATTGGAGTACGTTCTGCAGAGACATTTCTTAATACACAACACGTAGATTATTAGAATGACAAACGCGAACAGTTAGTCCGCAACTTTTCGTTGAAATTTTGTAAATTTACAACAGC